ATTTTCTATTTTAATATGTTTTAAAATAAAATTTTAAAATGTATTTTATTTCTGTGATGGCAAAGACGAATTTTCAGCATCCATTACTCGTATTATTATCTATGTTGAAAACAGACATGCTGCTTAATATTTTCGTGGAAATGTTGATGCATTTTTTTTAGGATTCTTTTATGAAGACAAAGTTCAAAAGAACAAATTATTTTTTGAAATAAAAATGTTTTGTAACATTGTAAATGTCTTTTGATCAATTTAATGCATATTTCTTGAATTAAATTTTTTTTTTTTAAGTATTTTGTGACTCCAACAAAATATTATCTTCTGATATATTTGCCAATATAGCAACTTCTGATATTTGAAAGCAAAGCAAAAATACAGACTAAAACAAATTTTGCCGGCCTTTGATGACAACCCTAATTCTGAATATTTTTGGAGACTGCATGACTTGTAATAGAAACAGTTACTCTTTACTCACAGTCATCAGTTGTCTATTTATTTTTCAGCGTACACATGAGCAGTTCTGCTCTCACAGCTGAAGATGGGTTGAACAGGCAATTACAACAACTGCACTGCGAGAACCTGTGAGTGCGTCCCCTTCAGTCAACATGCTTCCAGCTCAATGTGGGTATTGTCAAGGGCTTCAGATGTTGCCAGGGCACCATGTTCTGTGTCTAATATAATCAGTCTCACTGAATTACTATCCCAGCTAATAGCATTATGACCTGGTGACACCAATTTAGCTCCTTTAGGCTGGGGCTCCGACTCCTTCATATTACACGGTCTGTTTTTCCTCAGCTGCTGTGTGTAGAGATGTGTAAGGTGTCTGTATAGCCCCTGAAAAAAGGGCACTATGCTGAATATTGAGTGATTAGTCTGCGAATCCCCTGAAAAAAATGGATTGGATTTGGACTTTTTAGACAGACTTTTGAGCCCATAAACAAATGTAGTCTGAAGAATGAAGTAGAATTTTTTTTACACAAAAGGTCATCCAAGTGACAACCACGAACAGGAGAAAAGCTGTCATAAAAAGATTGAGTGGGGAAACTGTAAGCTTGTGTAAGTAGACACTAAGGGACAGCCGTTTACAGATGCCTACGGGCACAACCTGAATATCATCCACTGCTATTAATACTGCACATCTGGACTCTGTTACCACTACACAGAAATCATGTTTTTTTTTTGCATCTTATATTTCAGCTGCACACACATACACACACACACAAAATCCATAAAATGTAAGTCAGAGGCACACAAAAGGGTCCTCTGTGTCTGCATTCATGCATATGAGAAGGAATAAGTAATTAGATTAACTACCAAGTCGCAGAAAAATACCAAAAACTCTATTAAAAATGAAAAGACTGTGTCCTGAAAGGTTATTTTTGTTTCATATCCGGTCAAAAATAATTATACCATGAATATCCACAGGCATACATTCCCTGAATTTTGTTTAGTCGTGAGACACGGCCATCCAATTGAGCTAACTTAGTTTTTACATCAAAATGATATCAAATTGAAGTAGGGAAAGTAATTCTGTGCTTTCACTAACGACTGACTAAGCCAAACAACTTTTTGATGGATTGAGAATTTTTAACTGCGTATAAATGCCGCCATCATTGTTTCCCTTGTCGTCTTGTTCTGTTTATTTATTGTTAACACGTTTCCGCAACTCTTGGCAATATACTAAGAATTCATGTTTTTAATTTGCTGCTGTTACTTTTGCTAACAGACAGCACTGGAAAAATATGCTACCTTCTCTTGAAAATATCATTGGCAAGACAGCTTTTTTTTACAATACAAAACATCCACGAATGTTTAAAAAAACTCTTAAGAAAACATGTTTCTGTGTACAGATGCTAAAAATGTCAGTGGTTCATTGGTTAGAGCAACTCAGACTTTAATGCTTTGAAATCAAATGTCACACCCTTAAAATACACCACAGCATAAACAAGACTAATAGATCATCACTAGCATGTGTCATACATGCCCTAAAGACACACACAGATGGCATACAACACTGCAGGGTGCGATCAATGGGATTTTATATGCTTGTAATGTAAAACCGTGAGAAACTGCAGAGCTGTTTAGGCCTGTGCATTTCACAGCCTCTATAACTGTACATCTCTGTCGGGAGAAAGTGTGCTTCTGTATTTAAATGGACTACACATTAGTGCCTAAAATCCTTTTCAATGTTAATAAAAATCCTAAGAAAACAAACATGTCTCTGACATTTTGCTTATTGCACAAACAAGTAAATGGAGTCAGATTTCCATCAGCAATTTGTAGTCGCATCAAGTTTGAAACGACACAAATGATTCTGGACAAAAACAAATTTGGATAAATAGGATCTCACGGTGGGCGATACACTTGAGATGTTGTGTTGTCTACAGGAGCCGTAGTGAAACTCAGTGCCCCCTGCCTGTGATATAATGCAGACCAGATGTCAGCTGAACCGTGTGACTAGCATTAACAGCGCTCACAGGAGGCTTCATTGTCTTTCACTGGCAAGAAAAAGTCAGCATTCCTGAAGGAGCAAACTAGAGTCGCCTTTCCCGTTCTTTCGCATTTCGTTTTAGTTTTATTTAATTCCTAATGACATTTAAACACCAAGATGAGGAAGAAGCACAAGAACAGCAAACACAAAAGTGCTCTGTCCATATACAAAGGTCTCTGTGACGCGGACATATTTTTGATGAAGGAATTTAGCAGTTCCTGTTCCTTAACCATTCTTTTAAATAAATATTTGGAAAACAGACATTAAATTCTGTTTTCAAATGCTGGGATCATTTCAATGCTAAATGTTAAAAAACTGAAATGTGGTAATATATTACATTCGTTCCTTTATTTGTATAAACTACTACTGACAAAACTCATAATTGCTGTAACTACATATTGTAATATGAACAATAAATCAGTAACTACACTGATTTAGGTCTCACACAAGCCGTACAACATAACATAATAGGCTATAATTTCTTGGTTCACGGAGTTGAATATGATGAAATTAATGACTTGCGGTTCAGTTATGTGAGTCATATTAACTGAGAAACTGCTCCAAATGATTCCTAAGTGTTTGTGATTCACAAAAACAAACCAGCTCACAAGAGTCATTAGCTTGGGATTCTGACTTCATTGATCACGCTGAAGATTGCAGCCAACATTTTCAGAGAAAATAAGTACCATTTTGCGTACCGAATGTACAAACAAAAACTGATAACAGAACTGAACACCATGAATATTAAGATAAGAACTGGTTCTCAGTTCTCAAACTAGTCTCAAGTTTAATTAATGAGTGTTTTGAAAAAGACATTTTGAACCAAATTCTGCCGAAACGAAGGTGTTTTGTGGTTCGAAACAGTTCACCAGTGTGAACTTTCTAGAAAAGTTGGAAAGAAAAAAAAATTTGAAACTTGTGTCACACTGGTTGCTAAAGACCTTCAAACTGCCATTGGTCCATGATGATTGCATAACAGGTGCGTGTTCTGGGAATCCGACGTCTTTTTATATGGAAGTCTTTTCAGGTTAATTTCTTTACTCAGTCTGTTGAAGTCAGACACAAGTAAAAAAAATATCCCAAAGGGGAAGAACTACAAGCTCTAAAGGGAGAATGTAACTTTAAGACCAAGCAGTAACCACAGCTTTCCATCATATTTTTCATAGACATTAAGGTCAAGTCAGAGTCGATGAAAGAATAAATATTCCATTGTCTTTATTTGCCCAAAGTAATTTTCCAAAGTTTATTTAGAAGTCATTTTTGTGGTATTTTAATTTCAGTATATTGAAGAGTGTATGGTATTTGTTTCCCATTATGCAATATTTTGAACTGTACTGACATAAGTGGAGCATGTTGCTCATGCCTCTCTGACTCATCTCAGTATGAGATAAAAGAAAAATAAACACCCTTTGAAAGCTTCTTTGTAATTCCCTAAAACTATCAATGCAATTAAAAGAGGCTCAAAGCTAATATTCATGTCAAGGAATTTCCTCATTTTTTCATCAGTTGTAATCATAAGCACTATTTTGACAGCAAAGGTTCATCAGAGCGACGTCTGTAAAACAAAACTGATTAGTGATAAAACATGCTGCAATAAGAACATATGCTATTCATGGTAGATGAGCGAGTTCTGTTATCCTACAAACCTGGTCACACTGCATGTTAAACATTGGGGAGTATGATGATCAAATACACTTTTATATATACAATATCTCACAGAAGTGAGTACACCCCTCACATTTTTGTAAATATTTTATTATATCTTTTCATGTGACAACACTGAAGAAATGACACTTTGCTACAACGTAAAGTAGTGAGTGTACAGCTTGTATAACAGTGTAAATCTGCTTGTCCCCTCAAAATAACTCAACACACAGCCATTAATGTCTAAACCGCTGGCCACAAAAGTGAGTACACCCCTAAGTGAAAATGTCCAAATTGGGCCCAATTAGCAATTTTCTCTCCCCGGTGTCATGTGACAATGTGAGGGGTGTACTCACTTCTGTGAGATACTGTATATAACAAATGTTATTACACACTGTTGCTGCCTTGTGGACCATTTCAATAGTGTACGCCCCATTTTTGGCTCTGCTTTATTATCTTAAGAGCTTCCACTAAATGTGGTACGGCGGCAGCTCAACTATTAATGTGAATCATTTCAAACATTTCTGTGATAAAAGCCTCCATTGTAACAAAAGTGCAAAGCAACCGTACAGCACTTAGCAGTGGTCAAAAAGATTTCCAAAACGACTGTTGGATTGACTCCTGCTTTTAAACTTAGAATTTAAATTACCACACGATACTGGTGTTTGTCCAAAAACAGTATAATTTGGCTGGGAATTTTGTGGATAGAGGGAGAAAAACCCCTGACATTTCAGAATCGGGTGGAAATAAAATAACTGACTAACCCCTGTAAATTGGAATTATCTGAAGTCCCTATATCAAATAACTACCATCCAGATAGGGATAAAAAAAAAAAAACCTGTATGGACACAAGTAACCACACCACATCCACAAGAAACGAAATGTTTATTTTAAAGTCTATGGTAGCAACTTGTTCCTAACCGGCCAAAAACCACAGATATGAGGATGGTAGTTTACAAATCACATACAAAACTGTGGGACAGGATTTTTCCTTTTTCACCTTTCTCCCCCCTTTACTTCTGTTCCCACAATGCTTTCCAACCTGCGGGCACGAATGGGGGGCAGCTGTTCATAGATGCTGAAGCCCAGCTCTGAATTCTGCTGGGGCAGCTGAAAAAGAAGCAGGTGGTTCTTTAACACCTGGAGAAACAAAGAAACCAGACATGTCACTGAAATGAAACCAGGAAATGGAATGTCTCTTTAAGGTAGAGGCGAATGCCTGATGGTACCTCATCTGTCAGGTAGTAGGTCTTTCTCAGCAGGTTCCGACATGCCGCCTCCACCTCCTACAGAGAGTGTAAGACAAGTCGGTCATAACTCAGCGAACAATGACAAAATAAGACAACTAAGAGACCATCGATCACACTTGCTTCACTCTTCAGACATATTTCAAACCCAACCACTCCATTTGGGATTGTGTAACAGAGCGCTTGCATATATAAATTATAGTTTCCTCTGGAGAAAAAAAAAAAGCCTCAAATGTCACCTAGTCTATAGTATCATATTCTGTATCAGGAGCCCAATCACACTGGTCTGTGGATTTGCATAAAGTGCATTTGGTTTGTCGCCTTAAATTGCATAACTTAAATTTTGGCATTTTCCTCACATTAGGCAATTACATTGCTTCAGTAGACTTGGAATATAATGCACAAGTCACACTAACTACTTTTAATTCCGGAGCTTGGCAGCCTCTGGTTACCATTCATTTTTATTATATGGAAAGAGCAGCTTGAACATTCTGCTAAATGCTTTTTTGTTACACTGGTCTTGTTCGGTGTTGTTACTTAAAACTAAAATTATTAAAAAAAAAAGATTTCAAAATACTATGCAGTAAATATTAGAAATAAAACCAACTAAAATTTGCAATTTTGCCTTGGCAAGTAACTGAAATACAGAAGTTACAATACACTAAGTTGAAGTGCTTAAAATAAAATTTAAAAAAAAGCTAAATAGAAATATATATACAGTGGGTACGGAAAGTATTCAGACCCCCTTCAATTTTTCACTCTTTGTTATATTGCAGCCATTTGCTAAAATCATTTAAGTTAATTTTTTTTATATTTGGCCGAGATACAACTATTTGAAAATCTGGATTCTGAGGGTGCAAAAAAATCAAAATACTGAGAAAATCGCCTTTAAAGTTGTCCAAATGAAGTTCTTAGCAATGCATATTACTAATCAAAAATTAAGTTTTGATATATTTACGGAAATTTACAAAATATCTTCATGGAACATGATCTTTACTTAATATCCTAATGATTTTTGGCATAAAAGAAAAATCGATAATTTTGACCCATACAATGTTTTTTTGGCTATTGCTAAAAACATACCCCAGCGACTTAAGACTGGTTTTGTGGTCCAGGGTCACATATATACTGTATAATTTATTAAATTTAAAAAAGCCCATAACAATATTACTAAAACTTAAACTAGAGTAAAGAAAATGGGATGTGCTTAAAAAAAAATTTTAAACTAAAAACTGAAAATATAAAAATAAAAGCTAATTCACATTACTAATTAATTAATTAATAAATACTTTAATAAATAATACTAAAATAAAACTGGTCTTGTTGCACAGGTAATTTACCTCTGCCACTGCATCCTGGGAGAAGATAAACGCATTCAGGTGGGCAACAGCCACCACATAAAGTACAGGACACCAGCTCCTCTTCAGAGCTCCAGTTACTAGTGCTCGAAAATACAGCCGCAACAGAGGAAGGGAGTCTTCCATGGGGGACGTGAACTTCTCCAGTGGAATAGGCAGCTGTACAGGACAAACAAATTAAATTTCAGATGGAGACCGCTTTAATTGGTTTGCAATAAAAATGTAGCAGCAAACTCAATCAAAATAACTTCCCCTCTGCCTCGTAACTACAACTGTTCTCTGATGACATTTGTTATAACCCCTCCACTCCAGCAACCTGTGCATGAGATCCAACTCATGAGATGAGATTACTTTTATGATCTCTTTATGAACTTGAAGAATCAAAGTTTTGGTGAAATGTACTATCATTGGAGAGATAGAAAACAGATTTCATTAAAAATATGCATTCCAAAGATGAAAATGTGTGTAAAGGTTTGGAATGAGTGAGTAAATGATGACAGAATTGTCAATTTTGGGTGAATTATTCCCTTTATACTCTTGATGCACATGAGATGAAGGAATGGAAGTTTGACTACTGACTACTGTTTTAGGAATGATAAAGGGGTCATGAACTGCCTTTGTTTATTATTTTGTACTGTTTTCTGAGGTCCACTTATAACCAGTGGTGGAAATAGCCAAAATTCACTGGGGGGGGGTTAATAATGGTAATTTTAGATGACCTTTCAGACGTATTTAATAATAAAATACTTTATAATTTATAATAACATTTATTAAGAACTTATTTAATATTTTCTCTAAACCTTCTTGTATATTAAAGGGGTAATATGATGCGATTTCAATTTTTCCTTTCTCTTTGCCCTTTAAGACAAGCACCTGCAATTATGGCCAAATTAAAGATACATTGTGTGTGAATTTGCACATTACAATGTAAGCATCATTAATGACCCCCTGTGTTGAATAATAAAAAAAGATTGATTAGTGATACTGAAGAATGATTTAATAAAATATTAGAATGATTAGTGTCTAGTGTCTGATTTGTAGATTATATTTAATAGTTTACACTTTGCAAAAACGTTTGCAGTTAGTTTTTAATATTACATTCTTAAGGACTCTATACTTACATTTCTTTTGTAAGAAAGTGTGTGTGTGCTCCTACTTAAAAAAAAAAAGAAAAAAAAAAAGGGAACAGACACCTTCTGATCAATGACAGAAATTAACCTTCCCATTGATATTTGACTCCTTAAAGGTTTTTTTTTTTTTTCCTTCTTTATTAAATGTCATCTTTTGTGCCAAAACATTTTTATCAAAATTTTTAATTAAACAATTAAATTAAAATAATAAGATACAATCGGGAAGAATAAGTTACCAGTAAAATGAAATCAGCATCAACAATTCATCTTTGCATGGCACAGAACTTGAGCACAAATGTGGCATTAAAGGGATAGTTCACCCAAAAATTAAAATGATTAATTACTCACCCTCATGTCGCTCCAAACCCATAAGACCTTCGGTCATCTTCGGAACACAAATTAAGATATTTTTGATGCATTCTGACAGCTCTCTGACCCTCCCATAGATAACAAGGGTCCTTACACAATCAAGGTCCAGAAAAGTAGCAAGGAGATCGTTAAAATAATCCATGTGAAATCAGGGGTTCAACCATAATTTTACGAAGCTACGAGAATACGCAGCTGACACAGAATAGCATACGCTGTTTGCGTTCAGTGGATACTCTCCAAAATGGCGCTAGGGTGACGCGGAGGAGATGAATTGTTGAATAAAGTTGTTTTTTTTTTCTTTCTTTTGCGCACATAAATTATTCTCATAGCTTCATAAAATTACTGTTGAACCCCTGATGTCACATGGATTATTTTATAGATCTCTTTGCTACGTCGATTTGTTCAAATGCAAAGATTCATTCATAAACGAAACAGCGCTGTGTCAAAGACTATAGATGCGCAGCGGCTCAGCTCTGACTTTGTTTTTGAACTATATTTTTGTTGACGAAATAGAGCAAAATAGACAACAGTGTTTCCTAAAATGTAAGTCACCTAATATTAACTTTTGTATAAAATAAAAAATGTATAAAACTGTTGTATAAATTCAATTTCACATTTGCAAACTCTCTTTATAATCATTAAAAAGCTGTTACCTTCCTTAAAAATAAAGCTCCTCCACTCTTTCCTAAAGTTGGGATTAGAAGGAAGGCAACACAAACACTGTTTTCCACACCTTGGCACTGCACAGTGCAGGGCTCCAGACTAACATTTGAGAGCAGTGGCACCAGCGCCACTAAATTCTACAGATGGTGGCGCCAGGAGCAGATTTGGTAGCGTTGGGGGTGGTGTGCGGGAGTATTAAAATATAGATAATTTAATCATAAACATACAAAATTTACTTTTATTAACAACACTAACAGGTGCAAAATCTAATTTTTATATAGAAAAATTATATATTCCACACTTATTAAATGTACGGAACTGACCAACTTCAGTGATTATGTGTGATTTAGTAGCAAACTGAAGAAAAGTTTGTTTTTCAAGGCACTTTGTGACTTTTCTTACTTCATACACAAAAAAGTGTACAATTCTGACAAAATCTGATTTCTTGATGATTTGATATTTTATAATAGTGATTATATAATTTCAAAATATAGAGAAAACGTAGAAATGAATGGCTAATAAGCCAATAAGTGCTCCTCTGCTGCTGTCTACTGGTTATAATTGTGATTTGATGTATTTTTAAAATTTTACATAAGTAAATAACATTCGAACGGGATCATTTTAGAGCGTTAAAGTGCTGGAAATAGTTGTGTGAAATGCTTGAAAGTCATTGAAAAGTGCTTGAATTTCTCTCTCAAAAGGCTGTACAAACCCTGAAATAAATAATATAATAATCAACTATTTCTGCCACAACACCATGGTTACAGCTAGCGTTACTGCTTCTGGTTTTCTATGTCAGCGCTGTTTGTTTTCTGATGGCACCGTTTATAACAGAAAATTCTGTGCAGAATTTGAATGCTTCTCACTAGATCTCGCAGCTCGCAGCATTCATTCTGCAGCAAATTCAAGTGCTTCTCACTGGATCTCGCACACTGTGCAGTAACAGTGTCGCGAAATCAACACTGCTTCCTGAGTAAACCTGTTCTGAGCTCGGAGAAGTTTGTTTGCTCTGCGCTGATCCGAGCTGATAAACGGTCTGCACTGCACAGCTCAAACGAGTAGCGCCGTTTCACTAGCTTTTGTTCAAATGCAAAGCGCTTATGAGCTGGACAACGCGGTGGTCGCACCAGTGCGACCGCACAAAAATTAGTCGAATTAGTCGCA